AAAATTTAAATGAAAGCCGCCATTCCGAACAACACCAGAATCGGTACATTACTTCCTAATACAAAAAAATCTGATATAACCGAATTACAGTTTGATGTTTGCTGTCCTTTCTTCGTACCATTACTAATTGTCGCATTTTTTATTTTATCATTAGTATTTGTTGTATTAGTTGGAGAAAAATAAGTTTTAGGAGAGGTTGTCGCTTTTCTAGAAATGGTAATTGGACCGGTAAGACCGAATACTGTAACTTCTACACTATTAGAATCTAATAAAGCTTTGGTAGTAACTTTTATATAATATGCAGTATTATTTTTAACATTATTAAACGGTATAACGGGAGCAATCCATTCATAATCCATTTTCATAATATTCGATGCAATTGGAGCAGAATATTCTTCATTTACCATTAGGACTACCTTTAACATTTGGCGAACCATGTAACTTTATTTCGAAATCTGAAAGTGGATGACAAGATTTATTTTGCTGCCAACGAATCCATACACGATCGTTGGGATTGAGCATTATGCCTGGTGTAGGTGTTAAGACATCTAAACAATGAACTTCTCCTTTTTCCCAGGGAGCTTCCAAACTTAACGGTTCGTCTTTATTATGTTTTACCGCATTATTACCCAGATTTTTGGATCGTCTCCGTTTGTGTCGGTCAGAAAGGAATATGTAGGAATAATTGTAGAGAAAAATAATATTGTCTTCCAAAATTGCAGGAAAAACATTATAATATTGATAAGATGGTAACTTAAAATCAAGAAAGTAGAAAGATTGTATATATATTTTTATTACTTTAAATCGATCAATCAGTAATACATAATTTAATATCGATATAATCAAATCTTCAATAATAATCGATTCGTGATTATTATTATGATCTGTAAAAAAACTTTCGATAGTCCAGTAGTCGGTATCTGTATTTGGTGACAATCAATCTACCGAAACATCTGCTCTCCGACGATCAGTTGGAATCACTTTAGCAAACAAACAGATACCGCATATCTTTTTAAAAAATTGTGTTCTAATGTAATGAATGTCGGCTGATGAACAATTAATGCATATAACACTGTATATTACGTATGAATTTGGTAAATTTTTACCTTACGGGATTCAATTCCCGATACGTAGTGGCTTAACACTTAACACCTTACTACGTAAAGACTATTTGTATCGGAAATTGATCCCATAAAGTGAAAAACTTGAAAACTAAATGTACGTACGTACAAAAAAGTGACATAACGATAAGAATGTAACCAACAAAATCATTGACGTATAGTAGTACAATAAACTTACGTACTTCTTAAAACGTGATGGTGGCCATGTGTAGGAAGCTGATCATCTAACCAAATTGCTAAAAATCATTCTTTTCATTAAAATTTTTAGTATTAATTCGGTTACAATTTACTCTTGGAACTGATATGATTTATGATAAACAATTCTGTAATTGATCTCTGTTATCATTATTATCTAAAATATCTAATATACAATTACATTTGTGATCTATATGCAAAATTTTTTTAGTCAAAATAACTTAAAATCCAATGTCAAATACTAATTATATCTATTCTATATTCTACAGTTCTACACTTTGAATCATCTATTGATTTCGGAAAAGCTGATTACAAAATATATCTAAAATTTGACATTTCTCTATCTTGTATCTCAATATCACTATTTATACTTTCCTTACCATGATTTTTCAACGTATTTTCGTTAATTTTTTTACTTTCATTAATAAGCATAAACCTCAAAATTAATGTAAAAATCACTACCAAAATTAATAAAAATGCATTTATCATATGTCCTTTGACTTTGGATAGTGCATATTGGTTTTATTGGTATTTGCAAGAAAATATATATATGATAAAATTTACGAGAATTAATAAGAATTAATTGAAAGGTTATTATTAAACTTGATTATACTGAAAAAAAAAATCACTTACAATATCTGGGTCCATCATTTGTTGGGTATAGCAATGACGACAAAACACCTAAATAATATATATATATTTATATATTTATAAATGTATAATACAGTAAATAAAATTATAAAATGATTCTCACCAGAAAAATTTGCAGTTGCAAAAAACATTGCTTGAGCGATTGCACGTTTGTCATGAGGTATAGAAAATATACTGGTAAGCCAAGCTACTGAAAGTGGTGCAATTGTTGATACGCCTAATAAAAATATAAATATATGTCTATTAAATATTCAAAAAAAAAAAGGTTTAATTCAATTAGCATTTACCAGCAATGCAAAAAAACGTGGATGCGTATAATAAATTTACGCTATCAATCATTGCCAGCCCAAAAAAACCAATCATTGCTAAACATCCTCCAAAAACAATATGAAAGCTTCTTTCTTCAACTTTATCAGAATGCAATGTTATAGCTAATGAAATGAACCAACCAACAAAATATGGTGGAACTGTCAGCAATTGACTTTCCAACGGATCAAAGCCCATAGAATGGATTACAGTTGGTAGATATAATGCGATGGAATTTAAAGTAGTCCCGATGAATAAGCCAATAAGCATTTCAATATAAATTTTCAAATCTTTTATGACCAAGTACAGACTGTAATGAGTAATTTTGTGTTGTTGAAGGCCATTTAATGTATAATCATCTTTTCGAAGGTCATTTAACGTATAGTCATCTTTTCGAAGACTGGTTACCCAGTAATCCCTTTCTTGGACAGTTAGGAATGTGGCAGTTTCTGGAAAATTTGGAAGAATGAAACTAAGAAAAAAGAATAATTGATAATATATTTTAGATGAAAAAGTTGATGAAAAAGTAAGGTTGAATATACATTACAAAGAAGCTAATGAGAAAACAAAAGTAGCAATTCCTTCTAACAAGAATAGCCATCGCCATCCTTCCAAACTTCCATTTCCGTTCATATATTTCGTAATTAAATAAGCCAGAAGTCCACTATTACGTATAATCACCAAAATAATTAATTCATTAACACGAAGAGAGAACTATTAAAGCTAATAATAATAATAATTGATAAAACTTTTACCCAAAAGCACCAGATAAAACAGATCCAGAATAAAATAAACTAAATCTTATAGCATATTGGGATCGTTTATACCACATACTTAATAGAAAAAATGCACCAGGTGTAAATCCTATTCAACACATAACAAACTGAGCAGTGAATATTATAAAAATTTTAGTATTGTCATCATTTTCTATGTACGTACGTACGTACCTGATTCAGCGACACCTAGTAAAAACCTTGTAGCAATCAATTCACCAAAATTACTTGCTGCAGCCATGCAACATATAACAGCAGACCATATGACCATAAGAGCTGGTATCCATTTTGATGGTGTAAACTTACTTATTACCTATTCAATTATCGACAACATTAATGTATTATAATCATTATAATCTGTGACTCTAAAATAAACGCGTCTTTACCATGTTTGAAGGTATTTCAAATAGAACATAACCAATATAGAATACAGCAAGTGAGATTTGAAATTGGTTTCCATATAATCCTATAAATGAAAAAAGTATTGTAAACAAAATTTTAAAAATAATATTTATTAAAATAAAATTACCTAGATTGTTCTCTAATCCTGCCAATCTTGCATTTCCTATATTACATAAAAAAAAAAGAGAGGATTTCTCATTTGAAAGTTCGAAAAAAAATCTTTCTTTTAAATATATAAACATCTCAAATTTAGAAATAGAAATATCGTACCAATATTAGATCTGTCCAGACAGGCCAAAATATTCATAATAACCAATATCAATAGTAATCTAAAATCGATTTTTCTTAACAATTTTTTCTTGTCCACTAGTGCCTGTAACATTTTTGTGATGATTATTGAGAAAAAAAACATTTTTGATAGTTGAATATATAGAGATTCATTACGAACCATTTCTTCAGTTGTAGATGTACCATTAACCATAGGTTCATTTGTTCGAGAAACATCCATTGTTTTTTTCGAAAAATAATAAAAATATCAAATTGTTTGAACTTGTGGATTTTATGTAGTTTTTTTTTCTTATTTATTTTCGTCATTTACTCCGAGTTAGGTCGCCAATAGTAAAAATCTTTATACTATTTTTGGTTCGGTTAATGAGTTTGGTAAGTTATTAAGCCCTCATTAACATTAAAGTTTTAGCCTGAGATAATGTTCCTGCCATTAACCTAATTAGTTTATTTTGATATAAATTCAAGGATACGTAGAACAAAGAAATTATGCATCCATGTAATTAAAGCAGAACTATTATGATAAATAGTAATTACGATAATTACGATGATGTGCAGTTATATTTTTTTATATAAAAATTACTCATTATTTTAACTTGATGAATTTGTAGGAAGTATAACGCTAGCCATTCGAAGTATAAATTTCACAAAATTTTGAATTAAATTTTTTTTTTTTGTTTCAGGAATATTTACTGTAAAATTGGTGAATTGTCTGTTATCTTTGTGATGTACGCAACGTATAGTACGTACGTACTTTGGGTTAACATCAACTATTAACATTAATAGTTAAGTTTTAAACAAAAACTGGACAGCCAAATTAAGAAATATAAACTATGCCCGTGAATTTATTCATATTTGATAAGTTCTGTACACAATTATTAATTCAGGAGCAAAATTAGCATCCGTTTTGCCTCAATATTTTATGTT